TTACACTTGGTGTCAAATTTTGTATTTTAAATTTTAATACTTAAAAAAAAAGCTCATATAAAAGCAGCCAGCAGACTGGTTCACGGACATCAGTCTGCACCTGTCAGCTGCTGGGTGAATCGTTGTTCTTTTGTAAACGTGTGTTTGATCTAAAGTCACCCTTTTTCTAAAATTAATCCAAGTTGTGTTGATACTTAAAGTATCTTTGCCAGGCCCAAGTAGGTTTACAGAAAATTATTTTAGGACAATGTATTAATTTGAGGAAGTCATTTTGGCAGTTCTTTGCACACAATCTTGACAAGTATATGTATTATGTTTGTATTGTATGCATATTTAAAAGGGAGTTGGTTAGTTTGCTTTTTGAAAAATGCACTTTTTATTTATTTATTTTATTTATTTTGGAGACGCAGTTTTGCTCTTGTTACCCAGGCTGGAGTGCAATGGCGCGATCTCGGCTCACTGCAACCCCCGCCTCCTGGGTTCAGGCAATTCTCCTGCCTGAGCCTCCTGAGTAGCTGTGATTATAGGCACATGCCACCATGCCCAGCTAATTTTTTGTATTTTTTTTAGTAGAGACAGGGTTTCACCATGTTGACCAGGATGGCCTCAATCTCTTGACCTCGTGATCCAACCACCTCGGCCTCCCAAAGTGCTGGGATTACAGGCGTGAGCCACCGCGCCCGGCCCAGAATGCACTTTTTAAAAAGGAACCATATCAGATCCTCATAAAGCAGCTGATGTCTACCATGGTTCCTACAGGTGCTGCACAGACTCGGGGCTTTGTCTCCACTAAACGTGCACCCTGGAGAATTTCCAGATCCACACCCGTCCCTGCGACTCTGCAGCTTGCATGTATGACTGGAAGCATTGGATAAGCTTCACGTGCTGGCTCGCCGGTTCTTTCCTTCTCTTAACGACTGTTGTTCCTTTAAGCTAATGGAGTGGTGTGGTCCAAGTGCGGCCACCTATGGGAGGCGCAGGGCTGCCTCGGAAGCTGGCCTTGGACCCCAGCCTTTACATTCATAAAGACATTTAGAACCAGATGGATGTTGTTCCTTTTTTGAAGTTGTTATTAAAGTAGGTACAACTTTCAAAAATAAATGGACTAAATATTTCTTCTCCAAAAAAAAAGTCACCAGGTGCCGTAGCTCACGCCTGTAATCCCAACACTTTGGGAGGCCGAGGTGAGCGGATCACCTGAGGTCAGGAGTTCGAGGCCATCCTGGCCAACATGGTGGAACCCGTTTCTAGTAAAATACAAAAATTAGCTGAGTGTGGTGGTGAGCGCCTGTAATCACAGCTAAAGCACAGCTACTTTGAAGGCTGAGGCAGGAGAATTGCTTAAACGTGGTGGACAGAAACATAAACAGTAAGAGTTTTAAAAAAAAAGTTAAAAAAAAAAACCTGGTGGGCAAAGGTTGCAGTAAGCTGAGATTGTGCCAGTCCACTCCAGCCTGGGCAACACAGCAAGACTCTGTCTGGAAAAAAAGAAAAAAGAAAGTAACAGTTTTGTTTATTTTCCTACCAGTTTTTTGTTTTTGTATTCTAATTGAAATCATTGTTTTCTACATACTGTAGAAAACGGATTGGCTAGGCCGGGCGCGGTGGCTCAAGCCTGTAATCCCAGCACTTTGGGAGGCCGAGGTGGGCGGATCACGAGGTCAAGAGATCGAGACCATCCTGGTCAACATGGTGAAACCCCGT